TATTTTAATTCAATTTAAAACGATTAATATATGATATAATATTGTTTTAAATTTGAAACATTAATTTATTAAATCATATCAAAACACAACATTTATTGAATTAAAAATATTACATATAGATAGAAATAAAAYGTTACATTAATCATTGTTTTCTTCTCCTTGAAATCGGCTCCAAATCTCTTCAACCAAATCCGCTTGTAATTGATTGTTGTGAGTCCTGTTACGTATTCTTGCATGACTTCGAAGATAATTTTCATACTCAGGAAGATGATTTCGAGAAACTCCAGGCATAGATATACTGAAATTAGCATCATCTGTGAAATCAAATTGACGAATATATGAGAAAAAATATATTAATATTAATAAATATATTAATATTATAAAAATTAATTTATTTAAATAATCAGAAAAAAAAAAGAATTTGGAGAGGAGTTGATGGCCACGTGGCTTTCAATATGAATTGCAAAATTTGCAATTGGTTTCCTATGTGGCATGGTTGATTCTGACAAAATAGGATTTGCAAGTGGATTTGAAACCCCCATGTGGGTGGTCTTACATGTGAGGGTTGTGACATGAGACGTAATATTGACATTTGTTTTTTAATAGGTGTTGAAAAGTCTGAAGTCTTATTTCACTTCTGATTTATAAGAAGTGGTGCTGAAGTCTAAAATCTGGATCCAGTAAGACTGTTTGTTTTTATGTCTGAAGTTTGAAATCTGAATCGGTCAAACTAGTGCAAAAATATAAAAGATAAATAATCTTTTTTATAAAAGACAAAATAGTTTTTGATAGCAAATCTCTTTCAGCCACCAAAATATGAGTCATTTGATAGAGGACAGATAAAGATTAAGAGGTATTAAGTGATATGTTTACCACTTAAAATTTCAGAGGACATTTAGAGCTTTTAAACTCTTATTAAAAAAAAACGTTCTTAATACCCAAATATCTGAATGAATCGGACTTTAGAGGCATTAAGAGGCAATTTTGATAAAACAAACAACCCTTACTAATTTGTTGTAATCGTATTATGTAATGTTAAAATTAAGTAATTTTTCAACATGTTATTTTAGATCATTTTATATAATTAGTTTATCAACTAACAGTTAGATCATTATCTAACAAAAGAATCACTTTTACTACTTCGGTTTCTTTGATCATTTCTTTATTCAATATGAAAATTGTTGGTCCTAAAGGTAATGACTAACATAGAAAGTGTGTAAAAGAGGGGGTTGAATACAAACACAACATATTTTCACTTTTTAATTATGTATGTTTATAAAAACAAAAGAATCACATTTTTTTACGAAGCTAGAGAGGTGAAACCTAATCCTAAAACAATCTGGATGGTGACAAATTTTCTAGAGACTGAAAGACTAGTAGATAAAATGTACTCTTTTAGATCTAAAGAATTGAGATAGTCTTCATATGTTGACGTTGATTTTGCCTAAAGATCTATTACTCAATAATTTCTATTACAACGGATGAGTTGCAACTTTTGGCAAGGGTTGCTTTTACAGCAACCATTGCATTAAATATTGTTATCCAATTTTAATACGTGGCTCCATTTGATTAATTGATCAGTGCATGTTTGCACTCTTCATTTCAACCTTTTGAGTTTAATGTAGACGTTTGTTAACACACCATATCCTTCTGTATGCATAGAGAACAATAAATAAAGTATGATATTAGTAAAATAGTACTTTTGAACTTACTTATGTGACAGGATGCGCATGTTTCCATACCAGGACAAGAGTTAGTAGAGTTGATGAGAAAACTTTTTGGTTAAGTTTGCACTTAAAAATCGGCTCTTCAAAATTAGTATTTGTCAAACTATTTTTGACTTTATCACGTTCCGGTCTTCAATAGCTAGATGACGGTCCAATTCGCTTTGGTGACTATTTTGGCTTCACTTCAATTAGTCTTCGATTTTGTTAAACACATTGTGTTTTTTGGACCAATACAAATTAACATGACTTTTACAAATTTTCTTTTGAAAACATAAGCTATATTTCAAATTCAAACAAGACTGTAAAAGATTTGCATCCTAAAAAGCAAGTTAGGATCGGAACTATGATTCAGATTTGGGTAAAATCTGAATCCTTACTACTTTCGGATTTTTGACTAATTCGGATTCTTGTTTAGGATGAATCTGATAAGTAAACCCGAATAGTATCCCAATCCATATTTTAGAGTATTCTGGATTTAGTTTGTGTTAATGACAAGCGATCGGATTTTAAAACATACCTCAAGAATATTTCTAAGTGTTGAATTAGATGTATTTGTGTTATTATCAAATCAAATGATTGAGACCAGCAAAAACCCCTCAACGTCTATAAAGCTTTTCGTTTGATTGTTCACCTCTTCAATACTAATTTTTTTAACTTATCTAATCGGTTCCCAATCAAAATTAATACGTAGAATGGGGGGAAGGAGAGTGAACATAACAGAGAGTGCTTCTTAGGGAGGAACACGATCTCCTTAGTGTTTGCCTGTGTGCCCTTTGGGCCTCTCGACGTACGAGTTCAACCAATGTCGTCCACCAAGAAGGAGGTGAAAGAGAATGAAACCAGAGAGGGAGCCTCAGATGAGGTCCCTGTATGAAGGTTGATAAAAGGAATTTCGTATGAAGTCAAGATGGGCATTCGTGCTCCC